GTTTAAATGTTTCTTTCACACTTAAAATATAAAATTGACTGCAAACTGTTCAAAGCATATCGTCACTTAATTTTATAATTTAATTCTATTACTCTCCCTATTTTTTTCATATGAGTTATGAGAGAGGTCCAGAAATGTCCCCAGGATCATAGCAAGTAAATACATAAAGTAGGTATTCAAAGGGCCACATCTTGTGGAGTAAATCAAACTCATGCAATACTAGCAGGAATGTAAAATGGCACAAATGCCTTGAAAAACAGCTTGTCAATTCCTCTACATGTAAACTAGTTACCATATGATCCAACAATTATGCTTGTTATTTACCCAAAAGAAAAAAACCCCATATTTGCTTATTTATTCCAGAATGTTCATCATGGTTTTATTTCAAAAGGTAGACACAATGTGAATGTCCTTTTACTGACAAAAGGAAAAACCAAATGGGGAATTACTTGGTCAATAAATAGAATAAAGTTTTGATGTATGCTGTAATAAGGACGAACATTATGCTAAGTGAAGAAAGCAAACATCAGGAAACGTAAATCCCAAGGCAGAAGAGCAGAGTCCCAAAGGCTGGGGAGAGAGGGAAGTGGAAAGTGACTGCTAATGGCGCGTTTGTTTTGGGGTGATGTATGTGCTCTGGAATTAGACAGTGGTGATAGTTACACAACTTTGTGAATTTAATAAAAACCCAAAATTCAAAAAATACTTAAGTCTGATTCCAAAGGCAGTCCTCTCACACAGCACTTACATACTGCCATCCCTGCCTTTAAGTTTTTCTTACAAAGTATCTTTAGGTTTTGCTTTTATGCAACAAATCAGGATTATCTGCACTTTGGTCGATACGTTAATAACAGCAAGTTATCAAAAGTGTCCGCTAACTCAACCTTGTAATAATGTGTAAGAGAGTATAATCCTGTAAGGATAGCTATTATCTTTCAACTTTTAGTGGCATAAAACTGGCAATTTCGCTTGTTGCTTTATATCCCCTATTTGAGCTAATCAGAAGAATTTTAAGGCCGACAGTAATCTTTTCAACGAATGTTTAACAATTTCATAATATGCTACGTCAAAACAAAACAACTCAAAACCATGACAGGTCTTCAAAAGAGTTCATAGAGAAAAAAAAGATCTTTTCATTCAATTTTTCCATAAACTTTCTGAAACCCCTCATATAACCACAATTAACTATAATTTTTAAAGGAACAAAATCTCTTAAAAGACAATAAAAAATAAAAAGATTGAATAAACATAAATATTACTAACGATGAGACTATAAGTAATTAACACTTTAAATTTAACAAAAATTTTACTTGGTTTTCTAACAAAAACATTTTTATAATCAGGAACAAAAAAAATTATGAAATAAACGGGCTTATAAGATACTCAAGAGAAAAAATATGAAACCACTCTTGAAGCTTGCTTAAAATGCTGGTAATATTTAAAAACTAATATTCTGGTTCCAGAAAAAGCCAATCTCATTGTCATCAAGTCGATGCTGACCCATAGTAACCCTATAAGGCAGGGAACTTACTATCCCTGTGGGTTCCCGAGACTGTAACTCTTTACAGGAATAGAAAGCCTCCGTTTTCTCACACTCATACAATACAGTCATCATCTCCAGGGCAATGCAAGACTACAAGTGTACAAGCAAACTTTCAGAAAATAACACTTTTTCAACTTCTCAACGGACAAGCTTCAAAGTAGAGAGACGGAAACTAAACATTTCACTACAGAATGCATTAGTGTTTTGGTATATAAACAAAATCTGATGATTCATTTAATCATGGATCAAAATGTGACACCAGCCTTTAAAAATACATACTACAGAAGTTTTTGGTTGCAAACTTGTGCTACATGAAAAATCTAACTGGGAAACTGGTTACTTTTTAATCTAAACTAAGTATTATTCACAAAAGTAATTTCCACCTTATAAGTAACAACTGTCAATCAATAGTCCAAACGACATTAAATCTGACATATTGTGTTGGGTAAAAGAAAGGCTGGCTGCTACCATAAACGACAGACAGTGGTAAACCAGTTATTATAAATCGGAATGTAAACTGGGTTGGTTTTTTATTTTTAAAGTTGATTATATATATTAGTATATTAGGTAACTATAACTTCTAATGCCTTTTAAAAATCTAAACTTAAAATTCGGATGTAATAATAAAAACGAAAACTGCATTAACATTTGACAGATTAGATACATTACAGGTTATCTTTTAATACACTTTTAAACGGTAGTCTGGAGATGACAGACTAAAAAATGCATGAATTTTATCTAAGCCAGCAGCAACCTTCCTAATGCCGCGACTGTTTATTGCAGTTCCTCATGTTGTGGTAACCCCCAACCATAAAATTATGTTCGTTGCTACTTCATAACTGTAATTTTGCTACTGTTATGAATCGGGCCACCCCTGTAAAAGGGTTGTTCGACCCCCAAAGGGGTCGCGATCTAAGCTTTTGCCAAATTTATCACCAAAAGGAAATACACGTATCGGTGTACTTAAATTTAAATTGTTATACAACAGGGAAAAACCATTAATGCCTGGTAATTCTAATACTTTTAATAGGGACCAAACCAAAAAACAAACTCACTGACATCAATTCTAACCCATGGTAACCCTATAGGGCAGAATAGAACTTCACCTGTGAATTTTGAAGACTGTAACTCTTTACAGAGTGAAAGCCTCATTTTTCTCCCTTAATAGGGGCAGACACCTTAAAACGGAGCCATTTTTACACTACCAATCACTCATAATAAAATCAGACAGAAAACCTAGTAAACTTCCAAACCACCTTTTCCCCTCATGCAAATATGTCTGTTTACAATGTATTTGATGAGTTAGTATAAAATCTGACATTGAGACTGTTTTTAATAAAGAAAACCTGGCTTTTCCTAAATTATAGTGAAAAATAAAAACCTGATTTTGACATAAAATCAACAATCCCAAATTATGGCTTTTACCCCTTGTACAAATGCAGAAATTAAATACTGTCCCTCTCCCATTTTAAGATTTAGGACTGGAGGGAGGGGAAGCATGTCTCTCAATATATTAACTATAACTAGTTGTCAAAGAGGTGATTTCAATTCATGGTGACTCCGTGTGTTTGAGACTACGACAGTGACCCATTTTCAATGGCTGATTTTTCAAAAGTAAATCACCAAACCTTTCTTCAGAGGCATCACTGGGTTAACTCTTGGTGTAGGTGTTTGCATTGGGATGCCAGGGAGATGGGCTTCCGACTCCAGTAAAGTTTGTCTCAGAAACCACAGGGGTCACCATGAGCCAGCACTGTCTCTATGGCAGTGAGGGGTCTTTTGTTTGTTTTTTTTGAAAGTTTTAGCCTTGCCATCACAAAAGACTAATAATGCCTTAGTCTATTCCAACTCAGTTACACTATATGGCAGGGCAAAACTGTCCCATTGGGTTTCCAAGACTTTAAATCTTTTGGGGAGTAGCCAGCCTCATCTTTCTCCCTTGGAGCAGCTGGTGGATTTGAACCTCAAACCTTATGATTAGCAGCTCAATGCTTAGCCCACTAAGACTAAGGAGCTGAAAAATAACATTTCATTTACCATAAATGTTTAAGTAAAAGGACAGACACACTATAGATTCAGGAAGACAACGCAAAGGAATAAGCTGGCAATTTATTACAGTTCAAAGTCCTCTGACTGATTCGGGATCCCTTTTCAGACTGCCAATCTCAGCTACTTATAAAAGTTTATATAACGTAGTCTTTCCTTTCTAATGTTCTCTGTCCTAATAACTGAAATCTAAAAAAACTTTAAAGGAGAAAAACCCATGTAATTAGCTATGTGGATGAATTAACAATTGTCTTCAGATGGGAAGTTGAAGTAAAAGGAATTTACACCCTTACTATTCTTACATTTTTAATATTACAGAAGCTGGCTATGAACACTTGTGATGGTAGTAGAGCTAGAAAATAAAGCCAGCTCACCCTCCAGAAACTAAGCTAATAAGCCAAAAAATTCAGATGTTCCAAGATGGAGGGGCTCCTTTTAGTTTACTTGGCTGTGAAGTAGACTGCTCACAGCACATTTAAGTGACAGCCCGTTTTCTCTAAGCTGATCAAAAACCGACTCTCAGAAACAGATTTTAAAAAGTTAATTCTCTAACAGTTTTTTTTTAAATTGTAGTTCTCCTTTAACAAGGACATTCTGAACATTAGTGTCATTGTGTTCAGTTTAGTTAATGAAAGTTTGTTCAATTTTGTTTTTATTTTTTTCTAAAAAGGGCTGTTTTGTTGTTGCATGAACCCTTAACTAGCTGAGTGGTGTGCTGTCTGGAAACAAAAGCGAAAATCAAATACTTAAGGTTTTTGACGCAAAAAACCAGAGTCGTGGTTTCCACCGTTTTCATGGGATGAACTTACTAATGGGGGGCGCGGCAAGAAAGCGGATGCCAGCGCAATTCGAAGTTTGGCAAAGTGGACGCTGCGGACTCCAGCCCGATAACGAGCTCCCCCTCCGCCAGGCGCAGGGCCTGGTCACTTCCTGCCCCGCCGCCCGCTCGCCGCCGGGTGTGTTCAGGGTACGCGGGGCGGGAAGCGGGGCCGGCAAGGCTGGAGTGGCGAGCCTACCCACCTCCGATCGCTGCCCACACCCTGCGAGGAGCCCGAACGCACCCTCCCACCGGGCCTCGCCAGGGTCTTCGGGGCCCCGAGTCGGAGCGTTCGCCTTGCCCACCTCCCCGCCCAGTGTGGTGGGGCTTTCAACAGGAGGGAGGAGAGCGCAAAGTCCCAGCCAAAGCCGGGCCGGGGGTCTGGCCCGGCCCCTGCCGGAGACAGAGCGATGGGGGCCACTCACCTTCCCACGCATTCCCCCCACCTCAAAGATTCCTCCCGAGCCCGGCCCACCTCCCCTCCCCCACCACGGCCGGCGGAAGGGAAAAGAGGCCCCGAGGCCGCCCCAGGGATAGAGAGGTGGCCTTGGACCCCGACAGGTGCCCCACCACGGAGCACGAGCCCCCACTCACCCATCAAAATGCGCATCTGCTTCTTGCCGAAGAGGCGGGAGAAGAGAGAAGAGATGGTCAGACCCATTGCGACGGGGGCACTTGCGCTGGGCAGGAGCAGAAGGGGTTAGGGGCGTCCCCGGGCCTTCTCCTCTCACGCTCCCGGCAAACTGAGCGAGAAGGAGGGGAAGAGCTGAGGAGAACGAGGGCAGCGGGGGGGCTGCTCGCCGGCCGGCCGGTCGGACGAGGCTTCGGGACCCTGGCAGGAATTAGCGGGGCGAGGACCTACTCCGCGACTGGCGCGGCAGCTCTGGCTCCGGTGTGAAGGTTCTGCTTGTGCCACGTCACGCGGCGGCCGCGGCGACTCCGGCGGCGGCGCGGCCCGGCCCCTCCAACGCGGACAAAATCTCGTCACCCTCGCCCCATCCCCCTGTGCTTCCGGTGCTGCCCGAGCCACTACGCTTGCTACGGGATTGGCTGGCTACGCGGACGTGCGTCTCCCGCCGCCGCCAGCGCCGCCCCCTCCCGGACGTGGCTCCCGGAACCCGGCGCAGACTGTAGGCGCAGGCGTACTTGGATACGGATACGGTCGCACAATGGTTCGGTACGTCGCTTCCTGTCAGACTCCAGGAGGATACCTCCACCCTCAAGGTTGTAGTTCTTGCTTCCAGCGCAGCGAGCAGTGCATTATGGGTTGGGTAGTGAACCTCTGGGTGGTTTTTTTTCTATTCTTTGGGGGGTTTCCTGTAACGCACGCTGTGCACGTTGGGAATTTCCCCCTTTCACAAACACACACGTCTCATCCTCAGATCAGGCGCTTGCCCTAGTGGAAGGGGAGACCAGGCCCTTCCTTCCCTGGAGATAAGTGGTTAAACGCCAGCGTGGAAGTGGACAGGCTGTGTCACCCGATAAGAACTCAGGCTTGCCATCCATGTCATTGCCTCAATGTGTGTCTGGACTAGAGAGCTCCAAACCTTCACTGGCTACTGCAGCGCTTCAGAAGATGCCAACGAGGAACACCTTAGCTTTTTTTTTACCCCCTGAAAAGCATAAAAGATTTGGTCCTTATGTTAAGTATTTGTGATCTTGTTTTCTAATCACAAAATATACATCTAGGGGGAGGAAATTACTTTTTTAAATGTTCTTTATTCGCCACCTCCTGCATATTTCCTCCACAGTTTTCAGCAGTTTTGAATTCGTTACTACAGCTTTCCCCAACTCTTACCTTTCAGCCTTCAGCTCTAGAACAGAGTAACGCTTGCACTTAAAAATGTTCTTGAGCCCCGATTAGAAGTCTCCCTATTACTCAAGCCCAAACCATCATAACTTCCTTTCATAGTTCTTTGCTTTAATTTATGGTTATTGATTCTTGACAATGCTATTCCCCCTAAAACATATACAGACCCACACACCCGCTGAAAGCTCCAGGAAGATAGGAGCCTTGTCTGTTTTTATGTTCCATTGTACTACCTGAACTCAGTACACCTAGAACACTTAATACACGTAGTCCAATGATAACGGGAATGTGATAGGGAAGTGACTAAGCTAGTATATCTGTACTATGGAAAATGATTAAGTTTAAAAGAGTAATAATATTACTAATGAAACAATCTCCAAAAGATACAGTTAGTGGAAAATGCCAAATTATGACTATTGTAATAAAAGAATATAAATTTCCCTGGTGTGAGTGTAAAATTAACAAAACAAGAATTTGAAGTATGAGAGAGCCTCAAAATTTCCATTTCTTTTAATTCCATTTTCCCTTGAACTTTCTGAAGTCCCCTCATAATCTGCCATAGCGGCAGTCAGGTGACCTATTTACCGCGTGAGGAGGGCCTCTTCCTCAGAGGTAAGGAACCTGGCTTTAGAGTGATAGACAAGAACTTGTTCTATATATTTAAAATTAAATCTGCTTTGTTGATGTTTGTGACAGGCTGTAGTGTAACCACCATAAAAATCATGCTAGCAAAATTCCCACCACCTAAAAAAGCACACACACACACACACACACACACACC